TTTTGCCTGCATGTATGTTTGTGTGAGGGTGCCAGATCTTGGAGTTACAGACAGCTGTTAGCTGCCATGTGGGTCCTCTGGAAGAGCAGTTAGTGCTCTTAACTACCAACCCATCTCTCCAGCCCTGACATCTAAGAGTTTTTGTCTCTATAATTCCTGATTGCATTTTTTTTTTGCAGTTATTCCAACCCTGGGAAGTAGGTGACACACTCCACGCTGAAAAAAGAATCTTTATGATTCAATGTTTTGCTCAAATTTATATGGTAAGGAAAGATTAAAGTCTTGGACTTTAAATATAATGTTTAATGTTGAATGAAAGTTTACCATTCATTTCCCAGGTTATGATTAAAAACTTTATTTGTGAAGCTGGGCCTGATGGCTCACACCCCTCATTCCAGCACTTGGGAGGCAGGCAGGGGAGTCCCAGGCAAACCTGGTGTACACAGTGAATTCCAGGCCAGCCAAGTGTACATGGTGAGACCTTGCCTCAAACAAAACAAAATAGAAATATATTTGTATCTCTTATTAGATCTTCACAGCAATCCTGAAGAGAAATTGCATTTTTGTTTTGCTGTGGTCAAAGACTTTGTGAATGATCAGACTTACCTGAAGTCATAGGAGCTTGTTGATGTTTCTACTCCTGTCTCCCCATGTACCAACTCATGCTTTGTGTCCAGCTAAAACCAAGGCTCTTCTGAGTCCACATTGTAACCACATTCTGTGTATTGGGTAAGGCTTTATTTATAGGTCGAGAGTTAGTTACGAGTTGTCCTTAAGTAAGTCATCTGACTTCTTCACAGCCTTTCCTTGTGGAAAGCTGAGACAACACAAGCATCTGCCGCATGGGGACAGAGTGTCTGCCACATTCTCCAGCACTGCTGCTCCTGCACCCCCACTTACCTTCTCCTCCAAGCATTACTTTCTTAAATCTCGTTTCTTTCATTCCTTGATTTTGGTGGTGGTGGTGGTGGTGGTGGTGGTGGTGGTGGTGGTGGGGTGTGTGTGTGTGTGTGTGTGTGTGTGTGTGTGTGTGTGTTGTTTGTTGGTTTTTACTCTTGGCTCTTTTGGGGGCCTGCCACCCAGTTCCCAAATAAATCACATAGAGCCTTTTTTTTTTTTTTGGTTTTTTGAAACAAGGTTTCTCTGCGTTGTTTTGGTGACTGTCCTTGATCTCACTCTGTAGACCAGGCTGGCCTCGAACTCACAGAGATCTGCCTGGCTCTGCCTCCTGAGTGCTGGGATTAAAGGCATGCACTACCACCACCCGGCCGGCTCATTCTTTCTTATGAATGCCTGGCCTTAGCCTGGCTTGTTTCTTGCCAGCTTTTCTTAACTTAAATTACCCTGTGGTGATATATTGTGTACCCTAATAAAATTTGCCTGAGGGTTAGAGAACAGAACAAGCCACTGGATTAAATATAGATGCCAGGCAGTGGTGGCACACACCTTTAATCCTAGTACTGGGAAGCACACATGCCTTTAGTCCCAGGAAGTGATGGCTGGGCAGAGAGAGATACATAAGGCGTGAGGAGACAGGAACTAAAGGCCTTTCGGCAGAAGCGTCCCTTTCAGGTAGAGGCTTTTTCAACTGACGTCTTTTCAGCTAAGGAAGCTCATTTGGCTAGAGGCCTATCGGCTGAGGCCTTTTCAGGCTGAGGAGCTGGAGAGGTGAGACGTGGCAGTGGCTTGTTCCTTTGTCTCTCTGATCTTTCAGCATTGACCCCAATATCAGGCTCTGAGTTTTTTTTATTATAAGACCATTTAGGATTCGTGTTACACATCCTGTCTACCTTTTGCCTCTGTCTTTTTTCTCTATTCTGTATATCTTTCTTTTTTAATTCTTTTTTTTAAATTTTTTTTTTTATTTTGCAATACAATTCAGTTCTACACATCAGCCACGGATTCCCTTGTTCTCCCCCCTCCCACCCCCCTCACCTTCCCCCCAGTCCACCCCCCATTCCCACCCACCTCCTCCAGGGCAAAGCCTCCCCCGAGGACTGAGATCAACCTGGTAGACTCAGTCCAGGTAGGTCTAGTCCCCTCCTCCCAGGCCGAGCCAAGCGATCCTGCATAGGCCCCAGGTTTCAAACAACCAACTCATGCAATGAGCACAGGACCCGGTCCCACTGCCTGGATGCCTCCCAAACAGATCAAGCCAATCAACTGTCTCACCTATTCAGAGGGCCTGATCCAGTGGGGACCCCTCAGCCATTGGTTCATAGTTCATGTGTTTCCATTCATTTGGCTATTTGTCCCTGTGCTTTATCCAACCTTGGTCTCAACAATTCTTGCTCATATAAACCCTCCTCTTTCTTGCTAATTGGACTCCCAGAGCTCCACCCGGGGCCTAGCCATGGATCTCTGCATCCAGATCCCTCAGTAGTTGGATGGGGTTTCTAGCACGACAATTAGGGTGTTTGGCCATCCCATCACCAGAGTAGGTCAGTTCGGGCTGTCTCTCGACCATTGACAGCAGTCTGTTGTGGGGGTATCTTTGTGGATTTCTGTGGGCCTCTCTAGCACTTTGCTTCTTCCTATTCTCATGTGGTCTTCATTTACCATGGTCTCCTATTCCTTGTTCTCCCTCTCTGTTGTTGATCCAGCTGGTATCTCCCGCTCCCCCAAGCTCTCTTTCCCTCGACCCTCGCCCTTCATTACCCCCACTCATGTCCAGGCTGTTCATGTAGATCTCTTCCATTTCTCCGTCATTGGGTGATCCCCGTGTCTTTCTTGGGGTCCTGTTTTCCAGGTAGCCTCCCTGGTGATGTGAGTAGCAGTCCAGTCATCCTTGTTCCACATCTAGTATCCTCCTATGAGTGAGTACATACCATGTTTGTCTTTCTGAGTCTGGTTTACCTCACTCAGGATGATTTTTTCTAGATCCATCCATTTGCTTGCAAACCTCATGATGTCATTGTTTTTCTCTGCTGAGTAGTATTCCATTGTGTATATGTACCACATTTTGTTTATCCATTCTTCAGTTGAAGGGCATCTAGGTTGTTTCCATGTTCTGGCTATTACAAACAATGCTGATATGAACATAGCTGAACAAGTGCTCTTGTGGTATGATTGAGCATTCCTTGGGTATATGCCCAAGAGTGGTATAGCTGGATCTTGGGGGAGATTGATTCCCAATTTTCTAAGAAAGCGCCATATTGATTTCCAAAGTGGTTGTACAAGCTTGCATTCCCACCAGCAGTGGAGGAGAGTTCCCCTAGCTCCACATCCTCTCCAGCATAAGGTGTATAAACAACTTAAATGTCAACATAGAGCAGTTACCTAATTAGCATAATTCATTTTTGCTGTGTAGAAGCGATTAATAATTACATATGACTTTAAACATTTTGTAGATCAATATTTATAAATTGAAAAAATGCTTATTATTTATTACAAAAGAATTAGAAACATCCTAATTAAAACAATTGTGTAAATTGGTGTGGTAGTATACAGCTGTATTCTCAGCACTGAAGAGCCTGAGTCAAGAGGACTGTGAATTTGAGGCCAGTTTGGGCTCCACAGTAAATATGATACAACTGTCTCAAAACAAAACAAAACAAACAAACAAACAAACAAACAAAGAAAACCCCAAACAACTGAAAATTTCAAACAAAACCAAACAGAAAACAAAGCCTGAATGTGGAGCTCAGTGCTAGGGTATTTACTGAGCATGCTCAGTATTAGATTTGATATCCCAGCAACATTAAAATGTCAGCAGTAAGACCACTATGTATGAAATTACATCAGTGTTACCAGTAATCATTATCTATGAATAAAAAGCTAAAAGAGTTAATACCAACAGTTTCACAGTGGAAATTTGAGCGCTTCAAAGTATCCTAAAACACATTTAGCTGTAATAAGCATAATTCAAAAACAAGATTTTTTTTCAAATAGTAGCTTAAGAGAAAATTTCCAACAGTTCATTAAAAACTAGGGGCAGAGGAACGTCAGCTCCTCTTTTTGTTAGTAGTTTTGCTAAGAACATTGGTTTTACATTCTCTGCAGATGTGCTATCTTCTCAGTCTTCAAATATCCATTATGGACATGATTTGTAGCATCTGGTATGGTGTGTTGGTTCTTCCCTTTGCTGTCAGAATTTGCTTTCGTCATGCAATTTCCTCTTTTCACTTTGGTCAAGAGGAGGGGCAGAAAATCATGAGCTTGAGTATCACTCAAGAGGCGACTCAGTTCTGCCTTTTCTCCCAGAGCCTCTGAAGGATATTAACCAAGGAACTCCAACTTGTCTCCCAATTGAGGATCAATTCTCTCCACCAAAATCGATTCCTGGAAGAGGCACAGGTAACAACTGCTTTTATTATTTTTCTATCACATGATTATATATACTCTAGAGAATTTCAGATGATGTAAGGTGAGAGCGGGATTACTGGGGAAGCCCTGTTGGTTCTGTTAGATCTGATTGACTCTGGCAGCATGTGAAAACTGGAGTTTGGCATTGTTTATTTTCTTTCTGATTATGTTGTGACTTCTGCTGTGTACTAAGAAAGTAAGGTAGAGTGTTCTATGGAGTTCATTACTCTTGAACTGAGTCAAATGTTTATATATAATTCATCTTGAAGGAGTCATAGGAGCCAGGTAAGATGGGTCAGTGTGTAAAGATACTTGTACAAAAGCCTGACTTACCACCTGAGTTTTATCTCTGAAACCCACATAAGGTGGAATGAGAGGACTCACCTCACTCGGTACAGTTGTCCTCCGGGCACATGTGCACTGTGGTACAGATACTACCCTAAGATCAGTAATAATCTAAGAAACACATTCTCTAATGGAAAGCTTCCTTTTTCTTAAAAAAATTAGGGAAAATATGAATAATTCCAGAAATCTTCATAAAATTAAAAAACTAGAGAAGAATCAATACATGTTTTGTTTGTTTTTCATATTTTCTGTTGGCCACAATCTCAGTTATCAATGTAAGGGGCAAGGTGAGTTACAAATATTTACTATTGAATAATAATTATATATATAAAATCAGATTGGGTCTTTTATTGGCATTAACCAATGACTGATTAGTGATAAAATTAATTTTCATGTAGGCTCCTCTGGTAATATTATATACTAGAAAATAATTCGTGAAGTGATCGTTGACATGAAATAATTTGAGATTAAACTTCAGGTTATATCCTGCTATGCCCCTCTCTGTTGCTCCCACACCTCACCCCTGCAATCCCCTTTCTACTTTCCTGGCTGCTGCAGTTACTCCAGGTTCTGTAGATGTCGGAGGACTTGGAGCCAAGAGCCTCAGATGCAAGAGAACATGTGGCTGTTGTCTCTCTGGGTTTGGTTTCCCACACTGTAGGATCTTTTCAAGTTGCATCCATTTACCAGGCCTGACCATGGAGAAAAATGTGTAGGCTGTGGCTGGATGGAGAGATTGGACATCTCAGGTGTTTGGGTTTAACCCAAGAAATATATATATGTCTTAGAGCTCAAAATTTTAAACATCTCCTATATTAATATTCAAATGTTCTTTTGATGTTGTATATGGGAAACCTGGATAGACATATATAATTGAAAAGACTGCAAGAACATTTTTATATTCATGTGTCTATCAAAATGAATAATTTTAAAACAAAGATTTTTATAGAAATCTTTGAACTTTTGTTATTTGAATTGATAGTTTAAAGGTGTTTCAATAATTTATGGTGGTAGCAATTTTGCCTAACAATTTTATATATTTGGAATATTTTGAATAAACAGGCTTTTTCAATATTGCAATGACTTACTAGTATATTTTAAATTATTTCTGTACTTCTTAATAACAATTGCTGTGACCATTAGAGGTATAAATGACAGAAATCTTCAAAGACTTCTCACGTCTAGTGGAAATCAGAGTCAGTCCATGTGATTTAGGGTGTTTGGCTCATTAAGGGAGTTTATCAGACCCCCTTGCCTTCTTTCCCCACTGCAGCATCAGATCCAGGTACCTTCCTAAAGGTGGACATTTTATTTTCTTTGAATGTTATCCAAGGTTTATTTTAACAGAGAACACACTTCATTTACTCCTAAGATGAGTGATGAGGAGATCACTTATGCAACTGTGAGATTTCATAAGTCTTCTTCAGAGTTGCAGAATGGAGGAAGGTCTGATGAGACTCAAGAGCCCAGAGAAGCTGGCCACAGAGGTAAGTGTTTTAAGTGTCTAAATTCACTTGTTTTTATGCATTTTTAGCTTTTAACATCTGAAAACAATATCCTACTGGCTTCTATTGAAGGAGATAAGTGAGTATGAGTGGGGGAGTAATAATGTACAAATTGTTCATAAATAAGTTTAAAAATTAAGTAATCAATTTTTAAAGGTACAAAAAGGAAAAGAAAACAGTAATTCTATTTCTAACTGTTAGCTGGTAACAGAGAAAGCCAGATGGGTAGAGAAGAACAATAGAAGTCTATGAGAAATAATTTCTTGATAATTGACAAATGAGAAATGAATACATTCTGTCAAATTTGAAAAACCATTAGGAGGTTTTTATTATTTAGTCTACTCAAGAATAATTCTGAAATGTTTAAAAGTGGAAATCTAGCCGGGCGGTGGTGGCGCACGCCTTTAATCCCAGCACTCGGGAGGCAGAGCCAGGCGGATCTCTGTGAGTTCGAGGCCAGCCTGATCTACAAAGTGAGTTCCAGGAAAGGCGCAAAGCTACACAGAGAAACCCTGTCTCGAAAAACAAAACAAAACAAAACAAAAGTGGAAATCTAGAGTCTAAAGAAACACCACATGTCCCAAAGAAATGAAATCTTAAAGAAATGCAAAGTACGCATTTGAAATAATACTTTCACTTTAGCAGAAGGTGTTTTAATTGTCTTGAATATTCCCATCATCTAATGCAACAAAACAGCAGAAGTATTTCATCAGATGAGGAAGTCTCTTCCTGGAAAGAAGCTGCAGAGGAAGAGAGGAGATGACAGAGGGTAGTGGGGATGGGAATGACTAAACCACATTATGCATTTGCAGAAATGTCAAAGAATAATTAAGTTTATTAACAAAAAAAGAGGAAATCTCACTTTTCTATTCTCTTTTTCTGCTTTCTCTGAATGAACTGTATCAGCTGAACTCCAAGCTGAGAACTTTAACTTCTTTGACACAGTGATAATCAGGATTGGCTTTCAGATTTCCAGCATCTCAGATTCACAAAGATGTTTAGTATTGTCTAGAAAAAAATGGAACTTATGGAAAAAAGAGGGAGTTGACTTCTAGGCCCCAGAATGGATGGGCATGTATACAAGTCAGCTCCAGAATAGCCACGGTTCCCTATATTTCTCAAGAATATCCATCCCTCTTCCCTTCCTCCTCATCCTCAGTTACTCTCCCTTGGTGGACTGCATACTCCAGTTTGGGATCATCTACCTGGACTGTGTCTGTGCCTCCAGTGCTTTCTGAAGGATAGACTTTTGATCCTGTAGAACTGGGTGAAAGGGCAGGTGCCTGTCATAAGGCTACTTTTAGGCTGAGTCAGGAGGATTGAGAATGTAAGGCCAAAGGTTAAAAAAAGTTTGTAATCCTGTGAAACTTCACACATGTAGGATTTCTACAGTGGGTGCATTTTAGGTAGAAATCTACAAATTTTGAAAGCACATGTTCAGTCAGCTTGTATGATGGGCTTCTGTAAAACTGTTAGAGTCCAATATCCCCTCATTTCCATGCTACACAAAATTATAACCAGTATTGGGACGTGCTCTTTTCATGGCGATTATTTTCTTGCTTTGTTTTTTGTTTGTTTGTTTTGATTAAGAGTGTTCAGTCCCTTGGCACCTCATTGCAATACCTCTGGGAGTCCTTTGTTCCATTCTGCTGGTGACAGTTGCAGTGTTGGGGACACACAGTGAGTAACTGGTATACATCTTCTTTGCCTTTCTGCCTAAGTAATAACTTTAGACACAAATTATGCAGATAATACACTCTGTCCATTGTGCTGTCTGTAATCAGGGGATGTGCCAGATTGCTCTGGACTATGTTTTTGTTTTGTTTTGTTGTCTGACACACTACAGTGTCCTAGTCTCATACATAGCTATTCTCTCAACTCTGGGGCTGTAGGAAGCTGCCTTGTTCTATCTCATTCTTCGTATTGTCCCTTGTGAGGACTTGATGGTAGTCTGCTTTCTGAGCTTAAGTGATTGTGAATAGTATGTAATAGTCTGTGAGACACAGCTGTGCCAAAGAAATGATGATGTTCTTTTCCTTTTCCTTGTTGGATATTGAGGACACGGTTAAAGGAAAAGACTTCATCTGTACAGAGACATTAAAGCTTAAGCTTTATTGGATTCCTTCGCATGTTTAGAGGAAATCACTCCCAGGCTGTGCTAAGAAATGGCTACGTATGTGGATATTTTGCTTTCCCTCTGGTCCAATGAGAATTGTGCCATTTCTTAATGTTTCTTAGTTCACATTTTCATGCTGTGCTAAGTATTCACTGAATATTTTACATAGGTATTTATTTGAAAATTTTGTGCTGTGAAAAATAAAGTAATTGGAAGATGTGATATATCCACCATAATTTTATTCAATTGTATTGTTTACTTTACATTAAAGTTACCCTGATAGAAATTCGTGTTTCCATTCCTGTAGTGAGTTAATTAAGGTTTTAAAATATCAAAGTACCAGTTTAAGTAATGATATTTGTTGGTTGTTAATATGGGCTTTCTCTGTTATCTTAAATTTCAATATTTACTTCTAATGTGCATTTTCTGTGTTATATCTGCTGCTATTTTTAGTTTTTCAGTATAGTCAAGAAAAACATGAATTGCAGAGAACTCTAAATAATCTCCATCAAAAGTACAGCACCATGCAAAATGACAGCTACTTAAGGGAAGAAATGTTGAGAAATAAGTCTAAAGAGTATCATGCCCTCAAAGACTATCTGGACTCCCTCAACAGAGAGCAGAACAAATGCCATGGGGACACTAAAGTTGTTTTAGATTGCATACAGAGCACAGGTAAGGAGGGGATCTTGAGTAAAGAATTGCAATATTCCATATTGTTTCTACTCTAGAAGATTTGAAGTCCAATTAGCAGCTTACAATGCTGGTGATCTGTGAGTTAATGGCTTGGGGTTTCCTTATCTCATGGAGGGGCCTGGACCCCCAGAAATCCCTGTCTGAATTAGGTGAATCTTGTAGATTCTAGAAGTAAGTGGCTGTTCTGGCTTATACTGTTTCAAGGGGGATGCAATAATAAATCAGCACAGCTAACAATTCAGGTTCTTTTTGTCTGTGGGCAAATTTGAGTCTCCAACTTTGTTGCTGACAGAACATGGAAGTTTCCAATAAGAGTGTATTTATCGCCGGGTGGTGGTGGCGCACGCCTTTAATCCCAGCACTCGGGAGGCAGAGCCAGGCGGATCTCTGTGAGTTCGAGGCCAGCCTGGGCTAGCAAGTGAGTTCCAGGAGAGGCGCAAAGCTACACAGAGAAACTCTGTCTCAAAAAACAAAACAAAACAAACAAAAAAAGAGTGTATTTACCAAATCCTTAGCCTGAAATGGACTCAGAGCATTTATAAGGTTTCAGTCATAAAAATAATTGTGTGTATGTCTTTTCCTTCTGCTGTGGTATGAGAGAGTTGGCCTGTTTGTGACCATGGTGTAGCTCCCTGCAGCACATTTTGGAGCTTCAAAATGGTGCATGTGCTACATTATTTCTACTGATGTCCACAATGAACACATCAGCTGGTTCTATATATCCATTCTTATAAACAACACTGCATAGAGCATGGGTGTATTGTAGAATATTATTTTAAGGTGTGTTACTTTTGTTTATGTTGCATTTGTTTAACTCTGTGAAGCTGTGTTACTGTGCCTGTTTAAAACACCTGATGGTCTAATAAAGAACTGACCAATAGCAAGGCAGGGGAAAGGATAGGTGGTGCTGGCAGGCAGAGAGAATATATAGAGGGAGAAATCTGGAAAGGGAGATCGAGAAGGAGTCAGAGAAGGGGAGGACATCAGGGGTCAGCCACCCAGCTCCACAACCAGCAAGTCACAGAGTAAGAGTAAGATTTACAGAAGAAAATGGGAAAAGCCCAGAAGCAAAAGGTAGATAGATAATTAAGTTAAGGAAAGCTGGCTAGAAACTAAGCCAAGCTAAGCCTGGCCATTCATAAGTAATAATAAGACTCCATGTGTGAATTTATTTGGGAGCTGGGTGGCAGCCCCCCCCCCCCCCCCCCCCCCCCCCGCAAAAGAGCCCAAAACAAGTAACAACGTGGGCATACACAGATCTCTCAACATTCTAGAATTTCAATTTCTTAGAGCTCTGAAATTTTACTTAGTTATAGATGTCTAATTAAAAAAGTGATCTAAAAACAGAATATTAGAAAATAAGAATTTTTACCATCTACCTTCTCTGTTATAGGCAAACACGTTGAAGGACGCTGGTTCTGCTGTGGCATAAAATGTTATTATTTCATCATGGACAAAAACCTCTGGAGTGGATGTAAACAGACCTGCCGGGACTGCAGCTTATCCCTTTTGAGGATAGATGATGATGATGAACTGGTATTGTAGACACTTACATGCTTCTTTATTCTTAGATTCCTTCTCTAACCCTTGGATAGTGAGATACTGAGCCCAGGCAGGTTTACTGAAAGAGAGACCTGTAAGTGTTGTCCATGGTTTGCCTGTAACGTGAGCAAAACCTGTGCAGTAAGAGTATCCTAGGCTACTCCTTCCTGCTCTAGGCTTAGTGTCAGGACACAGGGTCTGTTATGAGGAGACTGGTTACTAAAGAGAGTTGTGTCTTTGCAGGCTCCTCCCTTTCTCAGGAGTCTGCAAGAGAATCCCTCCGAGAAGCGTGTTTTCCCTGAATATGTTTAACCCTTTAGTACAACATATCCTGTGACTGACAGTTATGTATCTCCATAGAGTGCCAACTCCACCCAGAGAGGCCATTGTCTAGGGCTTGCTCTTTGGAACCCACAAGTAAGACTGCCTGAGATGAGTAATTAGAAAACAATAGAGAAAGTAACTGACCTCTGGGCCAGTTTGAAAAGTGGAAATACATAAGATCCGTAGAATTAAGTAGTTTTACCAGCTAGCTCCAATGTGATTGTCAGTGAAACTCTCCATAATCTTTACTTCATACTATTTTTGTGTTTTTTTAAAATGTCTATTTTTAGAAATGAGTAATTAAAAGGAAACAAAGGTGCCAAGGTGCTGACATTTTCTGTTTAAATTTTACTAACAAAATCTCTTTTAATATGGAGACTATATTTTTCTAGAGAAATGGTTGATTCATTAGCTTGAAACCTTTGTCCTTTACAACATGGTACAAAATTTATACACCAATTTAATACATGTGTAAAAAGTTATAACATGAAAGAATTTTTAAGGTCAGGTAATAATGTAAATTTCCTTTTGATAATATAAGCATAAATAATTTAAACCCATATTTTAAACTATATTCAGGAATTTAATTAGATATCATAACACTTGGATGTCACATGTAAGACACTAAATTTTTCCAAGTATCTGTCCCTTTCCTCCTCAATTCCTGTCACCTCCAGTTCTGAACTTAAGAACATCTTCCTCTCTGGAGCATAAAGCTTAATGCACAGCTTTTCACACAGTACTTTTCCTCTTAATAAATTTGCTTTGAAGACAGGGCATTACTTACATTATGAACACTTCCCACATGCCTCTGTAGTCTCTGGAAATGCACATTTGAATAATTTCATGGAGTGTCAGAAACTATATAATGAACCATGTATACAGTATGCTTGTTTTTAGGAGTCACAAGCAGGAATATTGTTCGGTCAGGGTCAGTGTTGGCTACACAGTGATACTTGGTCTAAGAAACACAGACATAAATCATTTCATAAACCTAATATCTCTAGACACTTGCTGTTTTCACTTTAAATAACTCGTGTAACTGACATTGGTTTTGACATAAATGAGCTACTAGTGGGAAATCACTTTAAAAATGAACTTGGAGGGACTGAAGTGCTGGAGGACAGGACAGCAGAGAACTGACATAAGAATAGCTGGGAGCTCTTATGCTTGTTTTTTTCTCACCAAACAGTGGGAAATTTTATCATCAGATGTGTTTTTTTCTCATACAGAAGTTCCTAAAGTCCCATCTTACTACAGATAATTCCTGGATTGGATTAAAATATGATGAAAGGAATTGTAAATGGCAATGGATTGGCGATGGCCCATCTAAAGTGTGAGTTTCCTGAGCCCTCACACACTAACTCTGGTACACTGTTGGGAGGATGGTGTGCAAAGACTTTTCTCTCATTTCACAATGCTTTCCTCATTTACAATGGAGCTCAGGGATAAGGACAAGATGCATTAGATAGTGTTTGAGCAAGTGCTAGGCTGTCAAATGTTAATGGACTGGACATTGTTAATGTAATTCTTGACTGTATATATTGTATATACTTCCTGTACTTATTGTATATAGTTTTTTATATTAGTTATAACCTTCTTTTATTATTTTAGACAAAAAGGGGAAATGAGGTGATATATTGTGTACCCTAATAAACTTGCCTGAGGATCAGAGGACAGAGCCAGCCACTAGATTAGACAGAGAGGTCAAGCAGTGTGGCACACATTTTTAATCCCAGCACTTGAGATCTCATGCCTTTGCTTGGGAAGCATATACACCTTTAATCCCAGGAAGTAATGGCAGGGTAGAGAAAGGTATATAAGATGTAAGGAAACAGGAACTCACTCTCTTTAGGTTGAGGATTTCATAGAGGTAAGAACTAGTGGCTGACTGCTCTGCTTCTCTGATCTTTCAGCTTTCACCCTGATATCTGGCTTTGGGTATTATTTTTTAAATTAAAAACTCATCTAAGATACTAACAAAAAGTTTGTTGGTGTTCTGTAATCTTCTTGTACCTTTATAGTTATTTCATTCTTAGGTTGGAAACATTTTCTTCTATGATTTTGCTGATTATATTTTCTGGGCTTTTGAGGAGGGGTTCTTCTCCCTTTTCTATTCCTATTACTCTTAAATTTGGTCTTTTCATAGTGTTCCTGATGTTTTTAGATTAAATATTTTCTTTGACCAATGAATCTATTCCCTCTATTGTATCTTTAACATCTCAGATTCTCTCTTCTATCTCTTATATTCTGTTAGTGATGCTTGCATCTCTAGTTCCTGTTCGCTTATCCAGATTCTCCATTTCCAGAATTCCCTTAGTTTGTATTTTCTTTATTGTTTCTGTTTCCATTTTCAGGTCTGGAACAATTTCATTTGTTTCTGTTAACTGATAGTTTTTTTCCTTGGTTTTCTTAACACTCTTTAAGAGATTTATTGATTTCCTCCAATTATTTTATTTGTCTTTTCTTCTATTTCTTTAAGCCAGTTTTTCATTTTATCTTTAAGGACCTCTATCATCTTCATTAAGTTATTTTTACAGTTGTTTTCTTGTGTTTCAGGTGCATTGGAATGTTCAGGTCTTGCTATTGCAGGCTATCTGGATTCTGGTGGTGGCATATTGCCCTTTCTGTTATTGATTGGGTTCTTACATTGGAGTATAGGCATCTGAATTTGGGGTGATTATAGGTCTAGATGTTGATTCCTGCATTTGTGTTTGTTGGATGGGTGTTTTGTTCCTTTGTTTTCTATTTCATCTCTTGCCTTCTGGCTAATTGGCCAAGTGTTCTGATGACTGGAGAGTCTTCAGGTGCAGTAGTGAGCCTCCACTTGGGTTTTTTGGGCCTCTGTCCCTAGGTCCAGCTTGGCTTCCAGTGTAGCTGAAGTCTTCTTTCAAAGTTGTAGGCCAGAATATGGAGCCCAAGCAAGGCGGTGCTAGTCTTAGGACTGGTGTGGACTGTACCTCGGCCTATGGAGTCTGCTGGAGTTGTGGGAAAGGGCTGGCCACGGGAAGAATGATGAGCTGGAGGGGTTGTGTGGAGGAATGGATGTTAGGGGAACAAAATCCACGGGATGATGACAGTCCAGCTGGCTGGCTGGTCACTCACTGGATAGACCACTGGTGAGGACTGTACCAGAAGAGTAGTGGAATTTCACCTGAGTTGGGAACAGGGCCCAGCAGTAGTGCTGGTGCTCAGATAGGAGATGGAGGTGCATGGGATGTGCCCTGGGCTATAGGGTCTGGAGATTGGGGCAGTTCAGCTGGGAGGCCAGTCACTCACCTGTTCTTCCAACTGGTGTGTGCTGTACCCGGGTCTGTGGAGTCTGCTGAAGTTGTGGGGAAGGGCTGGCCACAGGGAGGATGATGAAGTGTAGGGGTTGGGAGTGGAATAGGTCTTGGGTAAACAGAATCCAGGATGTAACAGCAGACCAGCTGGAAGGTGAGTCACACACTCCCTAGTTGACTGATGGGAACTTCTTTCTTGTTTTTAATAAAGATTCATGTCAGTCAGGCTTGCCTTGAACTCCTGATCATTCCGTCTCTATCTCTCAGTTTCTGGGACTATAAGCAGGTATGACTGTGCCTTTCCTGTCCTTTATCTCTGGAAAGGTATCAACCATACTTATTTAACACAAATTAGGTAGTAAACCTAGTATCTGAAGTTCTATAGTTTAATGTACTATTTCTGTGGATGTTGCTCATGATGCCATTTTTTTTTGTGGTATTTACTGAGTTTCTTCTTCAGCTGCTGTAGAAACTGTCTGAAGCAATGGTATTCACAATGGTAACTTTCTCAGGAACCTTTCATTCTGTGTCTGGGCACATAGCAGGTCTGGCTTACTTCTATCCTAAATGTGGCGCTGTCAGTGTGGACAGTTGTGTTCCAAATCTGCCGGAAGATAAATTTACTCGCTCTCCTCCAAAGATACTCTCAAACAGCCTGTCACAGAGGTGGACAGGCTGTCACAGAGGTGGTCAAAAAGAGAAGGCCTTATGGGGTGTATGCACACAGATCAGTATTATTAATTTTGGTTTTTCTTTATGAAGTATCATTCATACAGGCTAACTCTGCTATTCCTATCTACTTCTCAAGTGCTAGAATCGATGGTGTTTACCGTGAATGGCCACAGAGTTAATACATTTGTTTTTATCCTACTGCACCATACAGAGTGAAATGGGCAGGTAGTAACATTTAGAGCAAGGTGCCAGGAGCTGAATGGATGCCGCACCCAGGTTAAGAGACCTTCATTGTCCTTGACTCTGCTGCAGAACTGTTATTCTCTGATGATGGTGGGATTACTAGGGCCAGACCTGAGACTTCAGTAAGGAAGCCCAGTGATCAGAAGTTTTCTGTGGTTTCCACAAGCATTTTCTCCAGTGGGAAGATGCAGTAGCTTGGACACCTTTTTCAATGTTAACAGTGTGGAAGGGATAAAGAGTAGAATTGTGTTTATTTTTTATTATATTTTTTATTTTTCTGTGAATGTATGTGTATTTGTGTAACCATGTTAGAGCACATCTGTAGTTAGAGGGCAATGTAATTAGAAGGAGTCACTTCTCTCCTTCTGCTGTGTGGTATCTGAGGGCTAAATTCATGTAGTCACATTTGGTGGCAATGGCTTTATCCATTGAATCATGTGGCCCAGTGGCCCAGGACCATTTCTCATGAGTTTAGAAAAAATAAAAAAATCTTTAGTAAATATTTAATTAATTAACCAATTAATTCTATATTCTGTATATTTTGGTCTATAAGCTTTGTTTTTAAAATTATGGTCTGAATCAATTTAAGCTTCGTATTTTAATAACTGTCCATTATGTATTTTGTTTTATAGTGATTTGAGGACAATAAAATCATTGAAGGAACGTAGAGGCTGTGCATTTCTCAGTTTTTCAGGTATACAACATGATGACTGTGGTAGAACCCACCCCTGTATCTGTGAAAAGAGAATGGATAAATTCCCAGATTCAGTGTGCAGAATGAAGGAAAAGTGAAAATGGAACATTTTGTCATCTTTGTTGGTTTCCTGGGATAATTTGTGTCTACTTAATGGCCAAATGTCTTAACCACAGGACTCAGTCAAGCAAACAGGGTAATGGATGAGCAAGTGATGAGATTTTCTTCTGAAACCTGACTTAACACAGCAGAAACCATCTTACTTCCTGTAAACACAGCAGCTTATGTCTAGAGAATGGATGCCATTTGTTCCAAGTGTGCAGTATCATTCTCTTTGTTTCTGGATGACACACAGATCCAAACACAGAAACTTGAAAAACAGCACACACATCTCCCTTTTACTAGGATAAGCCATTTCTGTGGCCCACTGCTTTCACATCACAGTTATGAACTAGGATGCAGTTGTGGGTTTCTGTTTGTTAGTTGGTTGGTTGGTGTTTGTTATGTGTGTATGTAGTGTTATTACTTTGTATGTAGAAGAATTTATTTTTCAAAAAACATTTCTTTGCTATAAAATATATTTCCAGATTTGACTAATAGTTGCCAGGATAGTTCAAAGAACTCATACAACCATCCATAGTCCTTATGTGTTCTCATCCTCTCTCTGTCTCTTTCTCTGTCTCTGTCTCTCTCTTCTCCCCCTGTGTCATTCATTTGCTCATAAGTAGAGACCACATAGATACAGTAATATTAATTGAGGCCAGCTGGATGCCATGGCTCAAACTTATAATCTTATAGGTACACGAGTTTGGGTACAGCCTAGATCGCATAATAAGTTTGAAGTTATTGTGGGCTACAGAGTGAGACTGTTTCATGAAGCATAATAATAATGATGACAGTAATAATAAAACTAAACTATCCATAAATATTTCCTATGGACAAGCAATTTCTTTTATAGTATCATACTAAAACTGTAAAACTTGAGAAATTTAGTATTGACTGAGTAATATGATCTATTCCATAACCCATATTCATATTTTCTGCATCATATCACTATCAATATTTCCACACTTTCACTATCATCAGTGAATTCACTTGTAATGTCTTTTAGATCTAAAATTGTTATTGACTTATGATGTCTGTTTTTGGACCTTGATATTAAAAAAAAATTCAATTTTTAACTTGTAGTGTGTATGTAACAAAATGTGCCCACTCTAAGTCTTGAGCAATATGAGTTTTAAAAACTATGTATATCTTTTCAAGAATCATTGTGTATGCTATTTTTATGTCAACTTGACACAAGGTAGATACGAACTTGGTACAGTTGTCTCTGTAGATTTCCTCATTATGACCTTGATCCCCCTTGCTCATATAATCTACCTCAAGGCCCAGCTATACCACTCAGGCATATACCCAAGGAATGCTCAATCACACCTAAAGGACATTTGCTCAACTATGTTCATAGCAGCATTATTCATAACAGCCAGAACCTGAAAACAACCTAGATGCCCCTCAACCGAAGAATGGATAAAGAAAATGTGGTACATATACACAATGGAATATTATTCAGCAGTAAAAATCAATGACATCATGAAATTTGCAGTCAAATGAATGGAACTAGAAAATATCATCCTAAGTGAGGTAACCCACACTCAGAAAAACAAACATGGCATATACTCACTCATAAGTGGACACTAGATGTAAAGCAAAGGGTAACCAGACTACAACCCACAGCTCCAGAGAAGCTAGCTAGCAAGGAGGACCCTGAGAGGGATGTGTGGATCACCTTGGGAAGGGGAAATACATGAGATCTCCATGAGTAAACTGGGGGTGGGGGGGAAATAGAGGGAAGAAGGATGGAGGATAGAACATGAAGGAACAGGATAGTCATGCTGGAGGAGGGATGGGGTGGGAAAGCAATGAAAGAGATATCTTGATAGAGGGAGCCATGATGAGGTTAGGGAGAAATGTGGTGCTAGGGAAATTCCCAAGAATCCACAAGGATGACCCCACCTTAGACTATTAGCAATAGTGGAGAGGGTTCCCACCTACCCTGGGAATCAGATTGATGAATACCCTGTCATGATAGTGTCTTCATCCAAGCACTAGGCTGAGCTCTGGGGGTCTAGTCAAAGAGAGGAAAGAGGGAATTTTCTTATTTAGCAATTGATTGGGTGGGCCCAGTCTATTGTATGTGGTGCCATGCCTGGGCTGGTGTTTCTGGCTTCCATAAGAAAGGGGCTGAGCAAGCCATGGGGAGCTTCCAGTAACCAGTACTCCTACATGGTCTCTGCATCAGTTCTGCCTCCTGGTTCTTGCTAAGTTTTTGTGCTTGTCCTGACTTCCTTCAGTGATGGATTGTTATTTGAAATGTTAGCAAAACAATTCCCTTCTTCCCCATGTTGTTTTGGTCATGGTATTTCATCACAGCAGTAGACACCTTAAGAGAACAGGGAAATTTTTTTTTCCCACTGAAAGTTTTTTTGTGCCCCTTGGCCTCCCCACTTATGCCCAGGTAAGCAGATATATGCTCTTTTGTACTATAAATTAATAAGGCATATTCCATAGTTTCATATAGTAAATACAGATTTCTGATTTCTTTTGCATTTTTGCTATTATTATTATTATTTTTTCATGAATCAGTGGTTCATTGTTTTTGTTACAAAGCACTTTTCTATTACTCAAATGTGTCATAATATTTTGCCATTCATGTGTGAATATATGACGTGTTTTTAAGTTTTAATAATTATAAATGAAGTTCTTATGTTAATTTGTGTTAGTCACTGTGTGAACATATATTTAATTCTTAGTAAACATCTAGAACTCTGATATTATAATCCTTGTGGTTTTTTGATGCGGTGTGTGTGTGTGGCAAAACAGCTTGATCAACCAACTGCCATGACAGGCTTAGAGGCCCAGACACAGCTTCTGTAGCAGGCTTACTGACAGGTGACACCCAGATCCAGAAGTCATGAGCAGACCCCACCCAGGGAAGGCCTGCATCTAAGGGGAAATGCCTGACATTCCAAACATTCCCTATACCCCTAAACAAATGTCAGCCAATCAAGGAACCTGGAACTCCCCTCACCCCAAATTCTGCTATGATAAAAGCTCTACCTTGCCCAGGCTCAGGGCTCTCTGCTCTCACCTCTGTGTGGGACAGAGAGACAAAGCTTCAAGCTTTAAATAAAGACTCTTTGTTTTTACATATGGGATTCAGTATTCATGGTGGTCTTTTGGGGGTACAAAAGATCTGAGTGTAAAAGTGTTAAGTGTACCGATTGGCCTAAGAAATGAGTCTTTGTTCAATAGCCAATCACCCCAGCCTCTAGACTTTTAGCCCAGGGGCACAACCCTGAGCCCCCACACCATCACTCATTGCAGTCCCAGTTTCAGGCCAGCAGGCAGGTCTCCTACAGGGAACCTGAACTGCCACCATCCCCCTCTGGATCCTGTAATCTACAAGCCCTACCCCATCCCCCCAACCCCCAATGCACCCACCCTCTGAGACTGCAGCTGTTCCCTAACAAACAGAGTTCATTAACTCTAATAGGACCAAGAGCTCTGATTAGACCAAGAGCTCACATTGAACCAAGAGCTCCCATTGGACCAAGAGAGGCTCCCTCAGATACAGACACTCCTTGCACTGAGTGAAGGAAGAGATGGGTAGACACCAGTGCAAAAATACAATCAACAACATAAAGACCAATATGGCACCACCAGAGCCTGGTGGTTCTACATCAGCAAGACCTGAACATCCCAACACAGAAGAAATTGACCTTAAAATGACTTTAAGAAGATGATGGAAGTATTTAAAGAGGAAATAAAAAATTTCATTAAAGAAATAGAGAAAAAGACAAACAAAAACTTGGAAGAAATCAATAAGCCCCTTAAAGAAGCCAAGAAAAAGCCATTAAACAGGTGAAGGAAACAATTGAAGATTTGAAAACTGAAATAGAGACAATAAAGAAGACACAAACTGAGGGAATGCTGGAAATGGAAAATCCGAGTAAGTGAACAGGAGCTATAGATGCAAGCATAACCAACAGAATGCAAGAGATGGAAGACAGAATCTCTGGCATTGAAGATGCGATGGAGGAAATAGATTTGTCAGTCAAAGCAAACATTAAAGCCAACAAAGTCATAACACAAAGCATCCAGGAAATCTGGGAATCCATGAAAAGACCAAACCTAAGGATAATAGGGATAGGAGAAGAATACCAACTGAAAGGCACAGAGAATATATTCAACAATATCACAGAAGAAAGCTTTCCCAACCTAAAGAAGAAAATGCCTATGAAGATACAAGAAGCTTACAGAACACCAAATAGAATGGATCAAAAAAAGTCTCCTCACCACATAATAATCAAACCACTAAACATACAGAATAAAGAAAAAATATTAAGAGCTGCAAAGGAAAAAGGCCAAGTAACATATAAAGGCAGACCCATCAGAATAATACCTGACTTCTCAATGGAGACTCTGAAAACCAGAAGGTCCTGGACAGATGTTATGCAGACACTAAGAGACCATGGATGCCAACCTAGATTTTTTTTAAATCCTTTTTTTAAAAAAAATTATTTATATTTTATGTATGAATGCTCTGCCATATATGCCTGCATACCAGAAGAGGGCATCACATCCTATTATAGATGGTTGAGAACCACCATGTGGTTGCTGGAAATTGAACTCAGGACCTCTGGAAGAGCAGCCAGTGCTCTTAACCTCTAAACCATCTTTCCAGCCCAACCCAGATTTTTAAACCCAGGAAAACTCTCAATCACCATGGATGCAATAAACAAAATATTCCATGATAAAACCAGATTTAAACAATATTTATTCACAAATCCAGCACTACAAAAGCACTAGAAGGAAAAATCCAACCTAAGGAAGTTATATACACCCATCAAAACACAGACAATAGATAGTCCCACATCAACAAATACCAAAGAAGGGAAACACAAACACTACTGTAGAGAGCCGTGCACAGCCGTGCCTCAAAGATGGCGCCAGCGTCCGGCTTCTGCCTTCCTGATGGCAGATGCTCCTTATTTGGCTAAGGCTAGGATCTGGCTTGCTTCCGCACACCTGGACCTAATCTGGCTTGCTTGTGTATGTCTGACCCTATCAGCATTGTCCACGTGGCACTATGGGGGTTGATTGCCCAGTGGCTATAAAGGGCGTGGGCTGGCTTTCCCGGGGGGGGGGGGGGGGGGGGGGAGGAGGAGGAAGATCGGAGGAGATAGGAGATCAGAGTGAGGAGGAGATCAGAGTGTGTGTGTGTGTGTGTGTGTGTGTGTGTGTGTGTGAGAGAGAGAGAGAGAGAGAGAGAGAGAGAGAGAGAGAGAGAGAGAGAAAGAGAGTGAGAGTGAGAGAGAAGAAGAAGATGGCTTTCTCCGGGGTCAGAAGATTGTTCAAGGTTCCTGAATAAACTGCTTGGAGAAGAGCCTGGCGTCCCGTCTTCCTTGCTGGTCGAGGCGGACGCGACAAGTGGTGGCCCATACGGGGAACCCTTTTAAGGCTCAGAACTCTTTGCAGTCAGGGCAGTGCACTGGTAAGTCCCCAGGTAAGGCGGGGATCCGCGATAAAAGCGGGAAAATTAAGTAGAGCCGTGACCAAAACGGACAGGGAAAATTAAGTAGAGCCGTGACCAAAACGGACAGGGAAAATTAAGTGGAGCCGCGACCAAAGCTGACAGGAAGGTTAAGTGGAACCGCGACAAAGGTGGGCAGGAAAATTAAAGAAAGTGAAAGCAGGTGAAGGAAAAGGTGCTGCTAGTATCATGGGCGCAACTTCTTTGCACCCAATTTTTCTGGCTCTTAACGAGCTGCTCCTTTCAAAGAAATTAGAGATTAAGAAGAGTAACCCGGAGGTTTGGAGAAAGGTTAGAACTGAAATGCAGCTAGCTTGCCCAGTGTTTCTCAATGCCCAGATTCAACAGAGATACCATGACCAGATAAATCAATTAGCAACAAGGGCATGGAAGTCCCTACCTAATAAAGGGGAAGTGAGCAGTAACCTTACTAAGATCCTTCAGGGACCTATGGAACCTTTTTCAGATTTTGTGGCCCGCATGGTCGAGGCTGCAGGCAGAATCTTTGGGGACCCAGATGCCGTGATGCCACTTATAAAGCAGCTAATTTATGAACAATGTACCAAAGAATGCAAGGCTGCGATCACCCCTTATAAGAACAAAGGTCTAGAAGTATGGATAAAAGTGTGCAGAGAATTAGGGGGACCTCTAACTAACGCAGGCCTTGCGGCTGCAATTATACAACTTAGTAACAAGAAAGTAGGGAACACTGGGGCATGTTTTCAGTGTGGAAAAATGGGCCATCTCAAACGTAGCTGCCCTTAAGAAGGTAAACTTCTATAGTTTCATTAAAGAGTATAAATAAGTAGATGTTAATATGTTATATGTGAGTTTGTAAAAATGTGTAAATGTTGAGTGTGAGTTTAGGCCTAAGCACATGTTATATGTGAGTTTGTGAAAAGGTGTAAATGTTGATTGTGAATCTAAGCTTAATGTATGTGGTGAAAGAACCTGAGATACAGAGTTAGTGTCCTAGGAGACTGCAAAGCAGGCAGTCTGAGTGGTTTTCAAAAGCTCCAAAAGCCGCTAAGAATGGCGGACACCAGAACCAGCACAACAAGGTATCCGCAGCTGAGATCTGTGGAAAATCAATGCAACACAGAAAAACTTGAGTTAACAGCAAAAACGGTGCGATTTAAAATTACTGACTCCGCAGATGGGAGTACAATTAGTGGAGTCTGATTTTAAAGGCCCTTTGAAGCCAGGCACAGTGGGTTTATTGATAGGAAGATCCTCCACCGCCATAAGAGGTCTTAATCCATACAGCCCTATGAAGGGCATGGTGAAGTGGAAAGATATCCTCACAGGTAGCTGGCATGGCCCTGATCCCGTGCTGACATGGGCGGGAGGTTCTGTTTGTGTTTTCCCACAGGACTGGCTAGACCCTATCTGGGTACCTGAACAATTGGTGCGACGGGCCCCTCAGACGGAGAGACGTGATGACACCCTGGAAGCTGATGTGCCTGATCCTGATAGTCCTGATTCTGACAAGCGTGCCAGCGGGAGCAGCTGAGGATCGACTACTCTGGGCTCTTATAAAAGCCTGGCCATACCCTTTACCCATAACATCACATTCTAGTGTATTGCTTTATTTTTGAGTTGACTTGCTGCAGGAGCAGAACCCAGATCCTGCACAATGAGGTCATTGCAGTCAACTCCACCCGTGTGCACCTGGCCTATCACCTTTTTAAAGGAGTGGGCGGGATTAGGTGCCCTGGCAGGCCTACTGGTGCTTGTCTCCCTGATGTGCCTGTGGTGCATTGTTCGTTTAAGGGTTTCTCAGCGGCGCAATGCAGCCATGATTATCCAAGCCTTTACAGCCATAGAGGCTGGACTGTCTCCCCAGGCCTGGCTGGCCGCATTAAAAGTTTGATCGTGCAGGATGCGAGGCTAGTGCACTGCACTTGGGTCTAGCTGTATTGCAAAAACCCAAGAAGAGCAAGTCTAATTGCATGTGGGTTGATGCCCTAATTCCCACCTCTGCAAAAAAGGGTATTGGACGGGTCAAGTGTTCTCTGGGTGGATGACACCTGGACTAACACCAGTACAATGTCCAAGTTGTTTTTTGGCAGAGATTAGACCTCTGCTCTTGCCTGCTGCTTAAAACAATAAAGGGGGAGCTGTAGAGAG